TTCTCTAACACCATCTTCTCTCTCCTCATCTAGACCAGCTTCTCTAACACCATCTTCTCTCTCCTCCTCTAGACCACATTCTCTAGCACCATCTTCTCTCTCCTCATCTAGACCGCCTTCTCTAACACCATCTTCTCTCTCCTCATCTAGACCACATTCTCTAACACCACCTTCTCTCTCCTCATCTAGACCAGCTTCTCTAGCACCACCTTTTCTGTCCTTATCTAGACTAAATTTCTAACACTTCCCCTTCTCTCTCCTCATCTAATTCTATGGTGCCATTCAATCAACATATAAGCAAGTTGTGGTTCACTGTTCTCATATGCTGATTCTCTAAGCCCAATGTTGGAAGGTTTGTTCTGGGTTCTTAGTAATGCAAGATAAAATCTTAATCTTCTACCACCATCCTTCTCTTCATTAAGTGTAATGTTACAAAACTAAGTCATTTTTAAAATTCCTCTATCAGAAATATTATGCAGCAATCCCATTTTTTTCTGATTTACAGATTCATCTGTGTGTCAAAAATGCAAAAAACAGATTAACTCAATACTCCTTGTAATGCAAGATACTGTTCCCAAGGTCGACAGTAGGAGGTACATCAATTTTTGTGTTACTACAGTTCAAAAGTCATGCCATTTTAGGTTGGATGTGGAATATTTGATTGGGTGGAGGAATGGGGCATTTCCTCACTTTCAACAAAAGACAACAAGTTCCCTGCCATGACTTACTCTCTGAGGCTGGCTATTCGACAAGCCATTTGAATTCAGCATAGTGTGTGTGTGTGTGTGTGTGTGTGTGTGTGCGCGTGCGCACACGGTGGGGTGGGGTGGGGTAAGATGCAGAGATGGGAGTGGAGAATAAGGTTCTGCCTGCAACTAAGTGATCCCGTTTACTTCTAAGAAAGCAAACAGACTTGCCTGATGGAGAATGGTCACTGGAGCAGACCTGTGGTGTGTTGCTTGAAGGCAGAGAAAAAGCAGGTGTGAAGGCAATTACATTCATTAGAATTGGAAGCTGCTTGCCAGTTATTACAATATTCATCAATCTGACTACTTAAAGTTCTTTGGGTATTTTCCGGCAAACTTGAAGGGAGAGAGAAGCTGTTCCTTTATAATTTTTCTACCCCTTGGAAAAAATGTATCCTACATTTCCCAAGGAAACGATGTCAACTCTGCACCCAAGCAAATGAGAGCACTCGGTCTCTACTTGTTCACCAGGTACCGCCCCTCCACTGGGTCACGTCGGAGACATCCTTAGGCATTGCTCATATAAACGTGCATGTGCACACACAACACACACATTATTTTACATATAGACACCCCCAGATAAACAGATAGCGGATAATTCCCATTTGCTTAAGGCATCTCATTTTCACACCACTGATAGTAGGGTTTTACACATTTTATAAAATTTCACTTTGTCAATTTTAGACAGTGGTGTACTATCATTGTTAGAGCCCTGTTCTCTGAGTTTTTCCCCTAGATCAGGCCCAGCACCTTGGTGCCGCCTGCTGCCAGTGCAGGAGGCCCGTGCACCAGGAGGCAGTGGGTGAACAGCGGCAGGTGGGGCATGCCCAGCCTTCTGCGGGGCCAGTGGTCGCTGTTAGGGATGCGCTGCTCCCCAGCCCATTACAGGTTATCTCCCGCTGTGCCAGTAGCAGCCTGGGCTTGTGGGCCAAAGCCTTCTGTGGCATCTCTACCCTCACTATTTAACCAGAGCACACAACCAAAGAGGGATGCTCACAAAACACCCCAAGAATGAGACTCAAATCTCCTTGCAAACCTCTACTCGCTTGCTTGCCACGCCATGCTGGCCCTGGATTCTAGCTGGCTCGCATGGTTTGGTGAACTCTGGAATGCCAGCCCCACTTCCACCCTCTGTGAACTCTAGCTGTTGTGGGTTCTTATCTCCCTTCATGGACCAAAGGGGCTTGCACAAGATAAAATCCATCACACAACTTTGCATCCTGTTCGGCCCGCAGAGAGGCTCATAATTTAGTGTTATGGCTGTGAGAGGCCCGCTGCGACCGTTACCGTCAGAATAAATTTGGCCTCCCTCAGACTCTCCGCCTCTCTCCTTGCCAGTATATGTTAGGAGAATGGACATCTAAGCAGACAGCCAAAATAAACCTAACACTTAGAAGAAATCTCCCCGGCCCCAACAAAAATAGCAGCGACAACAACAACAAAACAGAACCCTGACTTCATGACCCATCTTCCCCTTTTACTGTGCCCAGAGCCAGGTGACACTCAAAAGTCCAGTTCAAGGCCACCAAGTCCTTTTTGACACAGAGTGACCTTGTAGGATGGGGTAGACCTGCCCTGCTGGGCTTCCTGAGACTGTGCCTCTTTACAGGAGTAGAAAGCCTCATCTTTCTCTGGTGGAGTACCTGTTGGTTTCGAACTGCTGGCCTGGCCGCTACCAGTCCCACACATAACCCCCTAGGCCACCAGGCTGCTCTTGTGGAGCTGGCAAGTAGGGGGTGTGACACTGCTCATCTGTCTTTCCTGGTACGTTGTTCTTCCCTTGCTTGTGCACATGCAGGTCACAAAGACGCTAGAACATACGTTTCATTGCTAGGGAGACCCTGGGTGGTACAAATGGTTACTTTGCTCACTGTTGATCAAAAGGTTGGAGAAAGCCCTGGTGGCATAGTGGTTATGTATTGGGCTGCTAACTGCAAGGTCAGGAGTTCGAAACCACCAGCCACTCCATAGGAGAAAGATGAGCCTTGTTACTCTCATAAAGACTTACAATCCCCAAAACCCACAGGGGCAGTTCTACCCTGTCCTATAAGGGTTGCTGTAAGTCAGCATCAGCTCAAAGGCTGATGGTTGGAGGTTCCTGTCCACCCCGCGGTAGCTCAGAAGGGGCTGGAGACCTAGACCTGAAAAATGCCAGCCATAGGAAACCTCATGATCACTGTTGAACTGACACATAGGCTTGCCAGGACCTGGGGGAGTTGACTCCAGGCAACTGGCTTTGTATTTATTCAAATGACCCGGAGACTAGCTTTTGTTGGTCTACATTACACCCTGAGCGCTACTGCAC